AATAACTGGTAAATGTTTTAATAATTATTTTTTTTAATAATGCTCTGCTCCAGAATATTTTATATTCTCTCCCTCTCTCTGATCAAGTTATTGCAGAGGTAGTTCATAGTTTTCAAGAAGTAAATATTTTAGAAAGTGTTTCACAATGTTCTGGCCACAATTCAGAACGTTCAATGCCTGAAAGCTCAGTTTAATACACTCAGCCAGGATTTACCTGTAGTGCTGTGATCCTAGAAGAGGAACTAAAAGAAGCAAATGGGCTTTCCTCTTGCATTTCGCTGCTCCTCCTTGGAACACAAAAACTCTTCTTGGTTACTGTTAGATTATCTCAGCAGGAAAGCTTGCCATTTGAGAAACCGATGCTTCCCCCCCACCTCCACAAGTGTGCCTCAGAAATGAAGCTGGCAATGTTGCTGCTCTCATACTGAGTGGGTGGGTGGCAACACAGTTTCTCTTGCAGCTGTTAGGAGGAAAGGGAAGGAAGTTCTACTTGCTGTTTTCCTCCACTCACAAAATGCAGATCCTTTGCTGAAGGCCTCCTGTATAGCTGTGGAGGCCTCCAGAAAGCATGGAACAACAATAGCAGTAAAGATGCTGCCATAAAGTAGAGTGGCCAGAGAAGAAGGGTATGAATTACAAGTGGTAGGGAAAGTTAACCAATAGGAATAGTGATTTTGTGGAATATATTCCTCAAGGTCACTCTTCCTACCGGAGTGAGAAGGTAAACCTTGATTCTTGATCACACTCTATTTGCCCTGTAAGCCAAAGGAAAAATGCCCAAGAAAAAGGCCTATGGCTGGATGGGAGTCTGGTCTTTTAATATCAAATCGGAGCCCTGGAAATCATCAACCTCCCATACAAGTCCTCTATGTGACATAAAAGGTTCATCTAGAAGGGGATTTGCGGTGTTTTTGGTGAAAAAGCATCCCTATCCTCCCATCTCTCTTTGACCTGGCCTTTGTAGTAGATTGCCCTGAGATGGAAACTCCATTGTCAGACTATAACTCTATAAATGGCAAGCAGCCTATCATAGAGCCAAAGCAGGGTGGATGTATGGGTTTATGGGAGTATCTCAAAGGTGCTTTTTTCAAAAGTCAACTGGACTTTGTTTTTCAATTTATGAGGGAAATGCACTTATCTTAGTGCCTCTTGATTTCTTAGTGGCTTTCAATATACTGACCACAGTGTCCTTCTGGACAAGTTGTGGTGTATGGGAATGGGAATACCATTCTGCAGAGGTTCTCCTCCTTTTTCGGTAGCCAGTTCCAGTCAGTATTGACAGGGTGAAACAGATCAAGCCATGGCCCTCACTTGTGGGGTGCCTTAGAGCTCAACATTCTTACTCCTTTTAGGTAAGTTCAACATAAAACTGTTGATCTGAAGGACCAGGCTGGAGACAGCTCATCCTGGAAGAGGTCTATGAGTTGGCATTGATGGCACATAGTCTATACAACATGAGGGAAATGGGAAAAGATTTTAATTGAATAATAAGATAACATTATAAGTAGAAAGGTTGGAGAGAAACTGTGTGTGCATGTATGTATGGGTGTGATACAAGTTGTGGGACAGAAGAACCATGATTAGGTTATTCGGTGTAATGAGACCATTGCTACATCTTTGACTACAACAATAACAGGTCATTTTCTAATCCATTCAAATGTGGATTAAGTCTATTATCTTTAGAGTCCAACAGTTCCTGTTCTTTGAGGACCCTTGACTAAGGAAATTCAGTTCTGTTGAGGCATGTGAGCCTGATGAAATATTCCCAATGGATCAGGTCACTTGTTTAAGATTTATTAGTTATCTCACTGTAAATCTAAATTTCACATTTGACGTCTGTTTCTGGTTAACATCCATGGCATCTCTATTGCTATAGTAGAATTTAGGAATAGACAATTCAGGACAAAAGGATATATTTAATTAGTTATGTAGACAAAAAAAATGAAGGAAATTATGAAATAAATGGCAATTAAAAAATTGGCTGACAAACAGTAAACCTGTGCCTGACCACCATTTGTACTTAATTGACAGGCAGCTTAGGGTGGGAACTTGTATGACTCCACCATGTATCAGAGAACTAATCGAAAAGGATCAAAAGATCAAATGAATAATCATCTCATTATCTAAATAACATCCTCTTTCTTTAGGTCGGTCCTTAAATCCAAATTGTTCATGAAGTCCTTTGTTTAAGCTCTTCAGACCTTTCCTTTCTCAAACTGGCCTTAAACATATTGAACTGAGTTGCATATTTATTCTTCATTGTTTTGCTTCTATTCTATTTTCTATTCTTTTGCTTCTATTCTATTTTCCTTTCTTTATAGCCTTTCTTGTGAATATTCTGCAAGCCTTTTGGGACAAAAATTTGCTGATTTCTGATTACACCGCCCTAAATCATTCTAGATCAGGACTGGGTAACCTGCACCCATCCCATTTTAGTATAGCCAAGAGCTTTTGAAGATCGTGCTACTAATATTTTGATCTGATTTTCCGCAGAAGGCTAAAATCAGTGTATAATTGTCCACTGTATTTGGCATATCAATTTTCTGTTCTTCTTCCCCCCATCAACAATAAGCCTGACATTTTTATCCCCATGTGGTGAAAGCATATGGCCCTTGGAGTCCAATTTTTGGATTGCATAAAATGTGGCCCCCAACTGCACAAAGATCATTCCATTTTGTCCTAAATAGAGGCAGCTTAAAAAAAATAATCACAATGCCTTTTTAAGGGCCAAATGTCTGCATAATAGGATTTTATAGATAACGAGGACAGCAACAAAGAAACAAAACATAAATTAAGAGCGCCCATGCCACAAATCTGTAGCTGGAACTGTGCACACGTATCTCATAATTCAATTTTCAAAAATTGCTTTCTTTTAAAGTAAAGTGAGAATTTGGGTAATTTTATGCATTCTAAATATGCGATCTCACTTAAATGCAAAAATGTCCATATCACTATTTATTTTTATTTATTTATCACATTTATATGGCTGCCCATCTTGACTGGACAGCTTTCTAAATGTGATTAATAAATAAAAAAAATAGTTGGGCTGACTCTTTTGCACTCAAGTGGGATAGCGTATTTAGAATACATACCGTACATTTATCAGACTTCTCACTATTTTAAAAGGCAGCTAAGGCCATCTGTATGATCCCATATACATTCTAGCCAATATTTGTCCACACAACTTACAGACCACTTTCCATTGCAACTGTTTTTCTGCCTTTTAGTTTATTTTTTGGGGAGTTACACAAATAATTTATTGGTTAAACAATTTCCTTCTCTCAGCTCTAGCCACTGAGCACAATTTTGAGCAATTAGTTGGATCATTTCCATTCCTGGCTGAGTTTCCCACAAGGTTTTTGCCCATTTGCCATATTGTGAAAAAAGAAATGTGAAACTTACACCATGCAAGACTCTGGAATTACCAGACTGAAGTGTTTACATGGATTTAAAAAAAAAAAAATCTCTGATATGTTCTTTCTTCAAGCAATTGAACCTTGATTTATTCCTGTATAATTAAATTTTAAATGACCTAACTAATATTTTAGCAGCTTAACTGACCACTGATTCTAGCTTATTGTGCTAAATGCAGTAAACACGTATTATATATTCAATCAAATAAGTTTACTCTATATGGCTAATATTGTGGGCTAAGCCTGGTGGGAAAATAAACACAAAAAGAGGGCAGAAGTAAATAAATATTCCACTCCCATCAAATGCCACCTTCTTAAACATGGTGTTTTATATAACATGGATGCATAAAACAGACTTGTGCAACTTGTAATACACCAAACTAAATGCAGCTCACCACTAGCCATGGTATGTTGCAAACATGAGATTCAATAAATCTGTTAAAAACTTTCTTTGGGTTACAAAACACTTTTCTGGGTTATAAAATAAATAGAAGGGATGCCATTCCTGGTAGGTTGCAGTACACAGCTGGACCATGTAAGTGTGAACGGCTGGCATAACATTTGGACCATGTTGCTGGATGTGACTGTTTCACATATATAAAATGCAAATCAATTCTACTAGGATCAAATTGGTCACATGGAGCTTAGAGTCTGATCCTATTGGCTGTAGCATGCAGGCAGTATCCCAAAACATATTCGGAACAACTAATACTATCAGTGAAGAGCTAAAGGCATTTTTGCAAACATCTTTTGAAAAGATGTTTCAAAGAATGAGGGCAAAAAACAAAGCAAAATAAAAACCCAATCAAACTCCTATTTTCTCCTAATGGCAGGTTCTTTCTCTCAAGTCTAAGCAGATTCCAGTGGTTATTTTATTGGACCTAGACCATTAGAAGACAAATGACATCTATAGTAAATTTGCAGGTGGCTGTGGAGAAAAGATCATTGGGTGCTCCTTCCAATTACTTAGATTATGTTTTTAATCTTCATTTAAGCGCTAGGGTGGCAACCTTTTTCATCACATGACACTTCCTTCAGACAAAGTGAAATCTTCTGGCTTTGGAAAGGATGCCAAATCTGAGCCATTAGTGTGAAGCTAGAGTTTACTATTAATCTATTGCTCAGCAGAATGAAATGTTAGACCTATCTAGATATGTGAAAGACAGATAGAGACAGCTGTGCACATGCAGCAGCAGCAGCAAAGAGTGGGAGAAAGCGCCTGCGTTATGAAGACTGATCCGAACCAGTTGTCTTTTCCTTCTCTTAGGATCGACGTAAAATAACACTGTTAGCCCTTTCTCACTCTCTTTGTCTGCTTCCTTTAGACAGCAATGGTGTTCCTCTGAAATCAAATTAGAAACAGAGTCTTATCGTTGGAGACCTCAGTCCCATTACAAAGCAGTATAAGAAAAGTGTTGATGTAAACTACAGAAAGAGGAACCTCCAGTGGGTCAGAGTCTCCATCCCAGCGTCTTTTCCCTCCCTATGTTTCTTCCATTGTCTGAAGGTGCTCTCTCTCCTTTTCTCCCTCGTCTACACCCCCCCCCCGCCCCTCGCAGTGACCCCTATGCCCCCCCCCCACAATGTCTTTCCTTGGCCGAGGAGGAGGAGGTGGAGTGCAGCGGTCTTTCGGAGATGTCAGCAACTGCTAGCCCAGCCGATGCTGTCAAGAAGATTGCATCAAGCCTGTGAGACGCTTGCCTGCCAGTGACTTTCCCTGGAGGAACAAACAAAGGGGAAATGGGGGGGGGGGAGGAGAAGCCAAGGATATGAATTCAGTTTGTGATTAGTCGGTAACACAGGCCAGATTGCTCAGTGACTTTCAAAAGCTGGTGGGCAAGGATCAATTATGGAATGAAAGATATTTGTGATGACACATGGGGATAAAAGAGGTGGGACTATCCTATACTTTTTCTAGATAAACATTGCTTTGGGTCAGGGAAAGATAGTCAAGACCACGCCTTCCCTGTAGAACAGCCCTATTTTCTGTACCAATTTATGGCATTCGCATATATGATCAAGCTGTCCAAACACGTAAGGGAACCCAGTTATCTCTTTGCACTGTTGGTAAAATATGTCTTGTAGAAATTCACTCCCCTTAGGCATACAGGCAGCACCACTATGTTCATTAATAGGGAACATTGGTTTCAAGGAATTCTTCCTCCCAATCTGCAAATACTTACATGCTTCTTCCCTCGGGATCTTCCTTGATGTGATGAGCATATTGGTTTCTCCCTTCCCACAGCCTCTACTATCTTTGCATCTCATCGTTCCTTTCTAGTTGCTGAAATCAACATCCAGAGATACGAGTCTAGCTCAGATATGCTTCACTGATGTAACTACATTGCCTTCTTTCAAATCCATCAATGGATTCATAATTTCCCAAGGGCACTTGTAAATACCCAAAATTCTCAAGAATGGTTAATTTAGAACTACAGGTGACATACAACACTAAATGTTATACATTTAGTAAATATTATTTAGTTACTAAAATATTTCAGTAAATACTCCCATAGCAAGTGCTTGGTTGGTCACATAGAAGGATAAAAATTCTACCATTCTTGTAGAATCTGCCATTATTATTGTATTTGTTGCAAAGGAATGAACCCCAACATTCAGATAGCAGCTCCCCAAAGGCAGACTAGAGGGGGGGGGAATTAAACAGTGTGAGAGAGAAAATCCTGTGCAATGGCTGACTTTCTCATGTTGTCAACTCAAGCTGCCAACTGGCAATTTTGAAGCTTCTTTGTCTCCAATATTTTCATATCTGACACACTTACTGTTTATGCGTGTCTATGAGTATATGCTTTCCAAAAGCCACTTAAAGAAAGACAGGAGGGTAGGGTAAGGAATGAATAAAAGTTAAGTAAAATAAAATGCCTGTAAAATTTACCAAATTAATTTACTACATGCCACCCCCATGAACCCACCTCCCTCCTCTAGCAGATACAATCAAACAGAAAGGAATAACTGGACAAAATGGGGATAAGAAGCTTTGTCCAGGCATTGCTGAAAGGGATAAAATCAGCTAGGTAATTAGCCCTACTTTTAAAAGCATCCAGGCATTGGCGCAGCAAAGTCTGCATTCTTTGGCACTTCTTCCTCATTCTTTTCTTTCAAGAATTACCACAGTTCCTACCTGGACTAGGAGATGAGCCTCACTCCAATTCAATTTGAGAAAACTCAGGCAGAATATTTCATGGCATTCTGCCCCCAATCGTTACTCTGAGGTCCCAATGCCTGTAAAGGCTTTTTCTTTCTCCTTCAACATTTCTATTTTAGTTTATGCAACTAGTGCTGCTCACAAAATAGTACAGCACACAAGAATTTATTAGATTATCTTCAGCCAGACCTGAAAGTCGCATTATATATCCTTTATAATGCTTTCATTCCTCCAAATCAGTGTGCACTATATCTTTTTTTTCCTTAATTGGATCGCAATCACTAGCTCAGCTTGCCAATTGAATGTTGAAGATCTGCTAGCCAGCCAGAGAATAGATGTATGTGCCAGACAGTGCACTTAGTGACTGCATGAAAGAGAGAAAGAAATCCTCTCATTCTGATTTTTTTTTACATTTTACAAACGGACCCAGTCAAGTATTTGAGACTCAGGCTGGCCTTTATTTCGCTAATCTTCTTGGAAAACAAGAATGGGGGTTATGTGTGAGAGAATTATTCCTGATGCCTTCTGCTATAACTTTTAATTCTTTGTATCCAGAAATTTGTTGACCGTCCAGCAGAATGGATTAGGCAGGATTTTAGGAAACGGGAGAAAGAACAAAATAAGCAATTAGTTTATTTTTTATTTCTTCCTTTAAGTGCAGATTCAGAAGACCAACACATAGCTATAGTAGGTTGCAGTAACTTTAAAAAAAAATTCCTTGTGGCACAGTAATAATTTTGGAAACAATTTTTCTAATATACACAACTGAGTACACAGGGTACAGAACTGAACAGGGTAAGTAAGTAATCTCCTCTTTCCTATTCTGAGAGCAGCGTATCCACCAGCACAATCTTTTCTGAGCCTCCCCAGACTTCCATTAGCTGCCAGTCTTCTTGGGTTTTTCACACCTCTCATTTCCGTCTAGCATTAAACAGCCATTCTGTGCATGGACCAAAACAAACTGTATTTTATTTGGGGTACGTATCATCCAAAATTAGCTGTTTTGTGCATAGAATAGCTTTTTCCTAATCCTGGGATAGTCAAATAAGGTCTGAACTCTGTTAGAAGAAAAATGTCTTGGTTTATGTTCTTCAGTATAGGCCCCAATGAAGTTTAGTGCTGTGCTAATCTAAGGTTAAGATTAAAAGTGCAGAGAAATTCACTCTGCAATTCAAACGGAACTTTCATAATTGTCTTTATATTTTGCTAAAAGAGGACCATTTTTGTAGCTACACCATAATTAATCTCAGTAGTCCTATTCTTCTATGTGTTTTAATTTGTCAGTAGTTTAAATACAGGTAGTCAATCAGAATACAGCTGGAAGGGGCCTTGGAGGTCTTCTAGACCAGCCCTCTGCTCAAGCAGGAGAACCTATACCATCTCAGGCAAGTGACTGTCCACTCTCTTCTTAAAAACCTCCAATGATGGAGTGCCCACAATTTCTGAAGGCAAGCTGTTCCACTGGTGAATTGTCCTCACTGTTAGGAACTGTCTCCTTAATTCCAGGTTGCTTCTCTCCTTGATTAATTTCCATCCATTGTTTCTTATCCTGCTTTCAGGTGCTTTGGAAAATAGATTGATCCCCTCTTCCTTGTGACAGCTTCTCAAATACTGGAATACTCCTGTCATGTCCTCCCTAGTCCTTCTTTTCTCTAGACTGGGCATTCCCAATTCCTACAACCATTCTTCATATGTTTTAGTCTCCAGGCCTTTAATCATCTTGGTTACTCTTCTTTGTACTTTTTCCAAAGTCTCAACATCTTTTTTGTAATGTGGTGACCAAAACTGGATGCAGTATTCGAGGTGTGGCCTTACTAAAGCTTTAGAAAGCGGTACTAATACGTGATTTTGATTTTGATTCCTCGACTTTCAATCACAAATGGGACCAGAACCTCCATTGCTAAGCAAGGCAGTGGTTAAGTGAATTGCACCTGATATTCCAACTTTTTTTTTTTTTTTGCCATAGCGGTTTAGAAAATCACCGTAGTAGTTAAATGAATCATATGGTCATTAAGCGAATCTGGCTTCCCCTATTGACTTTTTTGGAAGCCAGCTTGGAAGCTCACAAATGATGATTGCATAACCCCGCCAAGAACCTAAATTTTGGTCATGTGACCATGAGGATGCTGTGACAGTCATCAGTGTGAGGACCAGTCATGAGTTACTTTTTGTAACGAATGGTTGTTACAACAAATGGTTGTTAAATCAAGAAGTACTAGTAGTGGCATTACTGGACAATATATACTCCATGACTGCAATTCCAAGTGACCACAAGCCCAAGTAAGAAAGTTTTTCAAATGGTCTTGTTAGCTTCAATTCATTTATAGCCAACTTCGAAATTCTTAAAGTCTCTGTCAATCTATGATGCTCCTTAAAGGAAAAGCAGAGGCCTTCATTTTAGAGTTTTCTAGAAGCAGCTGTTACTAATGGAGTCCAGAAATTCTGAATCTTCTGAAGATGCAGTTTCAAATTTTGCATTGTGTATGGCCCAAAGAGATATTTATACAGCTGTATACTCTCTCTCTAAAGCATTCTCTCAATTCAGATTTGAAAGTCTCTTCAGGCGAGACATTCCTCAAATTCATATTATACAATGACTGCCATTCTATATCCAATGCAAAAAATAATAATAATGGTATATGCTGCCCTGTGCCTCTATCCAATCCTTGTTTTTAAAGTTTATTCTTTTGAGTATGAGATCCCAGAAGACATGTTTCCACTCTGCAGATTATCAAGATAAAATATGATATCCTAAGAATACCAAGAGATTATATTTCTTGGGGTTAAAACCTATGATTTATATTCCTTAATTCAGCCATATACTGCACTGGGCTTCTTAGAATTCTTTACTAACACAAAACCTAAGTGCAGTATGACACACATGTTACTGAAACGAAACAGGCCACACTCCCCATTTGTTTTTTTTAACATATGATTTTGATACAAAACTAAGGGCCATATCCTTTTAAAATGGTCTTTTATTAGAATTAGAAGAAAAAGAAAGAAAAGATACATATTGCAGACACATGAAGAGTAATATAAACTGAGGAAAAAAAGTTTAATGCCGAACAGAAGATTTTTAAAGCAGAAACCAAAATAACAGTAACAACCACAACAATGGCAAAAGAACATAAAATCCACACAGATGCACTTAAATAAAAAAGATCAAAGAAGGTGTTAAATTAGTATACATAGAATAAGAAATGATAACAACAGAAGACGGACAAAAATTTAAATATATATATACATAAAACAAAAGCAAAACAAATTACACCGAAAGCTTGTTTACTGAATATTACTTTAAAAGAAAATATGTCTATTTGTTTAAATGCAGTAGTCCAATTATCAACTCACTTCAAGAGCCATACTGGCGTTTGTGAGGTTGTTTCAGAAGGAGGCACCAGGGTGGCCCAACCAAACCTTTCATTTTGAAATGCCACTTAAGTGCTCTTGCAGTTGGGCTTGGTGTTTCTAAAGTATGACCAGGTATAATGTCTGTGACAGAATCCAAAACATCCTGTCTACATGCTGTCTCCACCGTGTATATAGAGTTG